AATTTATGACTATTAATAGAGAAACTGCATAAAACACTTTGGATTTTCTATTAATACTTCAGATGACATAAGTCAGTAGTAGAAGTTACGCTTTTCCTACGTGTGATTTAATTTATTTTAATTCGAACAGATGCTATCTGATTTTAAATAAATGTCCTTATAATTATATCAAGTAAGAATATCAAATGTTATTTCAAACCTCATTCATTACTCCCAGAATATTCATAATCCTACTTGGTTTGAAAGTCCTGGGTCGAAGAGATTCTATTCGTTGTAATACAGTGTATAGACATACTTGATGAGAACTAAGCTAGGATAAAATAGTTCTTAATCTATGTTTTCTAGTTTTCAATGTTTCTCTAAATGATACAAATCGTTTGTGAAAATGATCCATAATTGTCATTTATAGTTTAAATAGTGTAATGAAATGATTAATTATATATCCTTTCACAATTTCATCAGTCATAGAATTTGTCATCATTTGTCATCATATATTAAATGGAAAGATTTCAAATTACTGCTTTTGTCTAACTCAGCATCCCACTATCTTGTCCATTATATACCGTCTACTATCATTTCAAGTCCTAATCTTTGTATGAAATAAATATCAAAGTGATAGAGAAGATTTTTCAGCTCAGATGAATGATTTTTGGTGTTGTTTTCTCTGAAATAGACAATTTAATTGAGGAAATCTCATTATCGTTCTTATCAATATCATCATCGTCCATTTTTATGTAGACCATGTCGCTCAGAATGAAAATACAGACTATCTAGCTTAGAGCACAAAACAGCATTAAAAAGAATGAACGCTGTTGTACGAGAAAGTGGATCAAAAACAACTAAGATTAGATAGTTTTCAACAAATTATCTTCCCTCATATTCCAGAACTTATAAACATTTTATAATTTTGTAGTTAAACAGTCGAGAATCATGACTTCAATCTGTCTTGCAAGCAACGTTTAATGTATACCTAATTGATTTTTGATGAGTAAACTTGTGAAAGTTTCAGTGTGGAAATCAGTTAATATCGACCATGTAATCAAATAATTCTGGAACTTTCACATTTACAATGACGTCATGGGTCATTGTGTTAAATAATATTCAAATAATACTCGTGCTTACTTATGGAGCGAAAGTAGTAGTAGTAGTAGTGATGAATAAATTTTTCGTTTTATTTTTTTAGACAGTCAAATTCATCAATAGACTAATTGATTAGTCGTCAAAAACATACGGGATTGGATATTTGTAATGTTCACTGTCATGAATTCATAGAAGTACATGGTTAAGGTGATTACGAGATTTTTTAATGTTTATTAATATCAAGTCTTCACTAGGAACCGTAACTGCTGACTCTTTCCAATTCAGTTTTTCACAAAACCTTTACCCTTTTACGGATTAGTTTCCACTACATTTAGTTCCCTAATTTCCCGTATGCTTCAGGGTCATGCTTATATTACTATATATGATAGGTTGTACCATTTCAAGTTGTTATACTTGAATATCGAGTTTTTCCCACACACTTAATTCTTCCTGATTTTACGGATAATTGCTTAGTTTTGTGCCGAGTATCATTATCAAGTTCACAGCATAACCGTTCGTATCAGAATAGTCCAATCGTTTCTTAATTCCCAGGTATAGTAGGACAACCTTAAACTTCAATATCTATTTATTTTATAAATATTTCATTTACATACATCGCATGAATCTGATACTGGTTCAATGTTTACCAAATGCAAGTTTCATATCAATTAATGTATCCTTTAATTATGATGTAATAAATTCTGGATACATTTTCTCGTAATTGATATTAGAACCTATTGCTTGTGGAGATATTAGTTATGGATGGCATTAAAGTTGAAAACACAAACCATATAGATTTGATCGGAAATATTATGATCACTGCAATACTTTAAGGTGACGATAATTTTTAATTGTGATGTTTTATGATAGATATGTATCTCCGACAATTTATTAGCTAGATGTCATGTGCTCTTCAATTTATAAAAATTCTCTATTTAAAATGAGTTCTTAGTGAGAGTTATTTTAAAATGATATAAAAAATACCTATAATTCAGGTGAATGTTTTCAGTTTTGGTAAGTTCACAGATCTATATAGTTTCGTCACAGTTCTAAACAACATTGTCAGAACTAACTTCACATAGAATTGAGCTTTTTGACTAATTCTTAAGCTTTAAATCAGCTTGTCCTGGTGATCTTATCATGGAATGATTATATTCGGAGGTGTCTTCAACTTTATTTGTCATTACATTTATGTTAATCTTTTTTGGTTGGCTTTTGGTTACATGATTGATTGATTTCTTCCATACAGATTGGTAAATAGAGTTTATACTAATATGACTACTGGTTACAAATTGATCTAAATTCCATACTTTCAAACATTTTCCGGCATTCTTTGAATTTTCTTTGATTTAAAATTTTAACATTTTTTCAATGAAATTCATGTCTTTGGTCACCTTTGTGAATTGATATGAGCAATAACATGTTATGTTGTTTTGTAGCTAGTTTATGTTCTTGTATGCATAGATGATGGAACATCCACCTTGTTCAATATAACGTTTTCTGTAATTAGTGTAATTCCTTTTGTAGGTGATATCTTTATTTGATATTGAACATTGAAAGGATGTCGTATATTTATTTTATGCTCATTGGATATAACATCACTTTGATAGTGAGAGTAATAACACCAGTAATTATCTTTATGACATTCTTTCTTTCTCTTTGAGCATTAAATGATAACAAACATATTAGTTTTATTTAATACACTCCCCGTATGTGTGAACAGTTTAGTAATCTTGCCGATTACATAACCTTTAGTAGTGAGTGGGTGGAAGCGACTTATGAAATTTTTGTTCACTCTTACTTTGTATTAAATAATCACATTTCTGCTAACAATCGTGTTAACTTACTGATTAATGCAATTTTAAGTTCAAAATTTAAATGTAAACTCTGTAAGTCTTTAGTTAGATCTTTGAAGGGGTCGTTAGAGCATACTAAGTACTATATACGAAAAAAAATGTTGAGCGCTTCTTCATACAACTGGTGATGATAGACGTTATCAAAAGCTAATGATTTCAAATTTACTTAACGATTAATCTTTTTACATTTAAATTGAGTTCTTTTCTGTATTGAATATCATCCACAAATTATTGATTTTTTCATGAGAGTACATCCAGGTGACCTTGAAAAATTGTTTTTGCTGTTTCACACCATTTAATTATAAGCTTGTTTCATTTTATAACGATAAATCATAACATCAATAAAGACTTTGTTGATGTAGACAAAATGTCCTTTTTAAGGCCAAAACAATTTATTTGATCAGCTGATCCAGAGATGGAAATGGAACAATATAATTCCATATCACTCAAACTTTTATTGATAAGAATGATCTCGAAGAAATAAATTAAAATTAAAATGAAGCTTCATGTCATCACAAGTGTACTAAAAAAACTATAATGGATAAAACTTAAGTCCATCTACCATAATGTGATTGTATAATTCGACCAGAGATCTATCTTATATATATGAAATTCTACCGTTATATCATCTATGTTAATGTTTGATTAAATGACAAACTGTTTAAACTTATTACCGTATCTTATTAAACAAGATCTTGAGATATCCTTATCTAAAATGAAGTTATGTACTGAGTCAGTAGAACAGGTAAGAGCATTTCTCATGGAAGAAGTATCATAATGGCATTGAATTTGATTGGTTGTTGCTTTCTAAGAATTTGATTGGTGGATTATTATAATCAAAGCAGTATGAAATTTTGTATGAATCATTAATTGATTTTTTACTAATTTCCACTCTCTAATTGTTATTTAGATTGTACTTTTCACAAACATCTTTTCAAACACGACCATTTTAATTTGGGAAATATTCAAACTAAATAAAACAAATTCTCTAATATTCAAGTTAAAATCATGGTCAAAAGTATCGAGTTGTAATTTAGAAAACAACAGTCTATTATGTCATTCCATTATTCATGAAAACTTCTTGTAAAGATAGCATTAACCAGATAAATTTTGAGAATATTTTCACTTTATATAGTCAGTTTTGTAGACAATAGTGAATTAAATCACTTTTGATACAGGATCCTTGTTTATTCAATGAAGTGATGTAAGATGACAACCAATGAATTGTTTATTCTTATGACCAGTGAAATATTTCTTTAAAAGATAGCTCTCCTAAAAATGACACAAATCTACTCAATCTTTAGGAGTCTTCATCAATAAAAACTTTTGGATCTTTTAAGTGACACCCACTATGTTTAAAAGTACTGGTCTACATTTTCAACTTCAACGGACTCTCGATATAGAGTAAACACCATTTACTATCAACATTAGGTATGTGGCCTAATTGTTAACTTGGTAATGTTTTTCCATACGAATAAACTGATGTACATTAGTAATGGTCATAAAATTATATTTTTGTAAAATTTGTAAATAATATTAAAAAAGTAATTCTGATCATGAAAAAAATTTGACTTCGAAACAGTTGAAAACAATAAAGAATTGAATAACTCTTTCTTTGTAGTATGAAAATACTTAGCAGTTTACTATACAGTAAAGAGTATGTTCAATTAAAGAGTCGAGAATAAGAAATGAACTAATTGTCAAATATTCAAATGATCAGTAATGGATAATGACTAAAATGTCTGTCACAAGACTTAAATATACTCATTTCCATCAGTGATTGGTTTGTGAATCAGGATTGTAAAGAAAGTTCATATTTGGAAGAAATAGTTTTCTATTACCTTCTGTTTTTAAATAGTCTCTAACTAAAGTCAGTTCGTAATGTTAAATTACAAATCTACTAATGACTGCAACACCCTATAATATCAATATTATTTAGCGATCTAATAGGACTGTTTACAATTACACTAATTATATTATATAGTCAAAATAACTATTATCATAAAAATTTAATAACTGGTATAAGTAAGTATTGTAATCTGTTAAACTCATTGATTCACTTACCTCTTCTTGTATTCTATCAATTTTATCAAGATTTTGTTTCAAACCGATATAATAACGTTTCATTTCTCGTTTAAAATCAGTTTCAATACAAGAATTTTTTCCAGTTACATGTGTACTATTCTCACTTCTTTTCATTTTGTTTACATTGTGATTCTGTATTTTTGTCCAATATTTAATTTCATAATTAATATCAATGTCAGTTTTAGTTTCATAATTTTCAACATTTATACTCTCTTGTTTTAATGACTTTTCTGATGTACCACTAGTCATTTTGTGTGAAATAAAAGACAAAAACCGCTAGTTATCACAATTTGAATTATTCAGTTTTTTATCTAAATTATACCCTATCACGTGAGCTTTGTTTAAAATAAAGTACTATTATCATATATATATATATATATATATATATATATATATATATATATATATATACTACATACTGTATTAGATTAAATAAAACACTGAAAAAATAATCTTTATAGAAAAAGATAATCTACTTATGAGTAGTTAATCGCATCATACTTAATATTAGTAGCTTTGGTAGCAATTCTAAGAAGAGATGAGATTGAGATGGCACTATTAAAGTTATATTTTCATTATTCCATCCCAATGATGTCCCTCAGTGTTTTTGTTGAAAGTAAAGTGTATTTCAATCGAAAGAAAATATTTAAAATCCCCTCAAACTCCCTTTTTATACTTGTCTTCAATTCATGTAATCTATTATTTGTCTTGAGCCTCTTATTTTATATATTGATTACCATACATTGGTTATTTCTAGTTGAGTTTGAGATGGAGGGGAATATCCGTAGTACATAAAGAGGAATTAAGTTACTTTACTTTTTGTACTAAATGATCTAACCATAAAACCTTGGTTGTTTTTTCATATAATATCTTCTGAATAGACTTCTCGTGATGGTCACTTACTACCTTTTCATAATGTATCATCATAACACCTTTAAAGACAGTGATAGATTCATGATTAAACATTTTAGTAAGACCCTTAAACTTGTTTTTTTAGGATACAAATCTTTATATATGCTCTCCATAAATTTACCATGAACTGGGAACCGAAATTCCTCGTAATGACTTTGCTTCTCCCTTACTTTTTGATATGGTCATTTATTCTTTTACAAGATCACAGTGAGATATTTTTTTAATAATCCTTGTCATATTTTTATCTTTTAAGAAAGAGAAAAGTTCTTTTTTTAAAAATCAACAAATTTTTTCTTCTTGTGTTACTAAGGTTGAATCATGAACGTCTGTAATTTTTGATCTGCATACAATTTTCATACATATATTAGGAGTGCAAAATATCAAAGTCAATACTTCTGTGATGTGTGCTACTTATGTAGACATAAGTAGTATATGATGTTTGTCGTAAACAGAATGTCTGGCAGCAGAGAGACAAGAAGATCGAACAGTAAAGAATGAAAACAGAATGAAATTTGTATGAAAATGCAAGGACAAAGGAAGTCTGAGTCATTGGAGACAATTGATGGACATTTTGCAAATTGAGCATTTAATATATGGTTGTTATATTTGACTAAATAATTCTGTAATTTGTTTTCAATGCCTTTGATTATCCCCACTGGCTTTTTGTACACTACGCTTCTAAAGTGCGGAATATAACACTCATTTAAAGAACAGAGAAATAATGAAATACTTTAACTATCAATCCTTAATATTTATTGCTATCTTTTCATTTACCATCTTATTCCTTTCATTTTACATTTTACTGTAAGACAACATCATTTTGAATTTCACTACTGTTAATCTACTGTATTACTTTATTTACTTTTAAATAGACTATTGACAAGGAGTACTTAATTAATTAAATTCATCGGAAACATTTCAATTAATGCAGTGTAGTGTCGGTTGCTGTGTTAAGCCCATATACCTTATTTCATTCTTCTTGAGTCATATTTTGACCTTGTTAATTATTCACTTATCAATCTTCACTTTTTTGATGTAAGCGTATGTGTGTGCCCTTCATATCCTATTCATCACATGTCTATAACTTATTTGTATCTAGCTATAAGTATTGATTCACACTTGATTAAATAGAGTTGGTTCACACGTCTTCTTTAATGCGCGTTATTTCGCTTTGCTTTCTCCTCTTCACTTTTCCGATCTTTTGTCTGAATTAACGACTATATGAAATATACGTATTCAAAATTCACTCTCGTATTTGACTTATTTAATTCCATTATTCACTAACGTGGAATAAGTCAATAATTATATACGAGGATAGACGACATGTGTACTTCATTAACATTTATACGATCTAATTGGAGTCAAATACAGGGCTACTAAAACAGTTTTGCATTTAAATGGCCATTCATTAGCTTGAATAATAAAAGTATTTTTGATTATTATGATCCTTGAAAAAACTTTTTTTCCGTTATTCAATCAAATCCTGAATATAATTATGACAAATTATTTATAGAGAATTATTGACTTTATAATCACTTCAAGTAACTGTGTTCATGTTTAATAGAGATAAACGTGTAAAGATAAGTTTTGTTTTGCTAAATTAATTATATTTTCCTTAAGAATATAATTGACATTACCGTAAGTAACATTGAACTACTACAATCATCATCAAGAAGTTACAAGTATTCGCAAACGATTGTCTGCAGAAGATTCCCAATACCTGTTGGCTCTATACCATCAGCAGCAGTCTACTGTGAGAGAGAACAAACCAGCTTCCAGATGAAGAGGAAATTAGGAAAAGACGATGGAAATGGATAGGACATACATTACGGAAATCATCAAACTGCATCACGAGAAAAGCCCTAACTTGGAATCCTGAAGAGAAGCGAAAAAGAGGAAGACCAAAGAATACATTACGTCGGGAAATAGAAGCAGATATGAAAAGGATGAATAACAATGGGTAATAGCTGGAGAGGATTACCCAAGACAGAGTTGGATAGAGAGTGCTGGTGAGCGGCCAATGGTCCTCGACGAGGAGTAACAGGCGTAAGTAAGTAACATTAGGAAGAAAAAAGTAATATGAATAAAATCTACTTTTGGATAAGCTGAATACTCTAAATAGGATGTTATGCTTATTTGAGAAATTTTTACTGTTTTGGATAATATTATCATTGCTTACTTCAAGTAGACATAAATTATCCTGTTGAAAATATTTTAATATTATCAAACAAGAATATGGATAGAATTCTGTCACAATACAATGATGTATAGGTTGAAATGAAATTATTAACAGGTACTTATTCTTTTAACTTATCAGATATGTGCATTAATTTTAACTGATATGCTTGTATTATGATTGAATAGTTTACTGTTTGAACCTTAGTTGATCCCTAAAATACATTAAAGTGTATAAAAGAAAATAGTAAGGTCTTAAAGTTCGTAGTTGTAAGATTAAGTTGTGACTAAAGTATTAAGATTACGTAATTTCTCTTCTTTTGTCAACTGTTTATTTTATCAGTATGAGGTTGTGGAAATTATCGGATTTCAAGGAAATTATGAAATGACCTATGTTAAACCACTTTTGAGAATGTAATAACAATGGATGGCTGTTAAACACTGAAGATAATGGAAGATGGTCGCAAAATTCGTAGATTGATTGAAATTAGACATTTATTAGTTCTACAATATAATTATAATATAGTGATAAGTTAATCAAGACCAAAACAATAGGGTTCATTTTTTGAGGTAAACTTAAAAAGGAATGAGATTTATATGTTAGTAGAAGTATCTTTATTATAGTCCTTACAAAATTCATTTTCTACTACCATAGAATGATAGTGATAGTGTACAACACACATAAAAAAGAAAACTTACCTCTTTTTATGTAAATTATACATAACACAAATTAATCAATCACTTCATCTCGAATTTACTCAGTTTATAGTAAACCCTTAGAGATATTACTTCTTGTTTAATGGATAATTTACAGAAAAGAAAAATGAGCTATTAACTTCAGTCAGTACCAACATAGAACTTCGTACGTACGTACATTTGTTCGAGTTGCGATACCACATTAGCGCAGAAATGCAGTTGTCGATTTAAATCCCGTAGTGGTAGAGGTAGTAAAAGTATAAGCAGTAATCGGAAAGATTAGGGTTTGAAGATCTTATTCAAGGAGTATAATCCAGTGGAATAAATTTAAAAAGAGAAAAACAAGGGACATGAAGAATTCTAAATTAGATAACAACTAGTCATAATTGTTAATTATGTAATTAGTTTATTCATCAAAATTTTACTGGTCATAATATAATAAAAATTTCATTTAAAATCATTAGAAAATTAGATATATTTCCAATATTTATCTTTTGATTCTTACATAACTATTATACTACTAACTATTAATCAAAATATTTTATTAGTTCCCTAATCTTTTATTATATATTATGCAATATGGTGACTGTTTGATTTTCGAATAATTACTTTGATTTACTAATTAAATTTATGAGTCAATTAAAATTAGATCCCGTGGTGTGAGATCGTGAATGCACACTGTTGAGGAGTCTCATACTAGGACAAAACGACCATCTAATGCTTCCAGATTTTATAATAATGATCTAGCTTTAATTGATTGATGAATTCAATTATTAAATTACTAAAGAAAAAATCTTAAGAAAACCTCCTTCTAATAATTACTTTGATTATTATTAATCCTCTTTCTTCCAATTATTCAATGTTAGTTTATCATTGATATGTTATTATATAATTATAAGATAAATTAAAGTATTCTTTTACAATCATATTTCTTCATAGTAAACGATTCTCAATTCTCTTGTTTCATTATATTCTATAAATGAATCATAGGATATATATATATATATATATATATATATATATATATATATAAACAATATGCTATATTTTCTATTATCAATTCACTAATCAAAGCTATTAGTGGTGAGACTCTAATGGACGAGCCAATCAGAAGCGTTTTAGAGATTTCAAGGTTACGACGTCAACTTCGGTGCTTAATGCTAACGTACGATCGGTTTACAGGGAATTTTGTACAAAACGTGATAATTGAGCGGCTATAACAAATAAAACGGCGAGACCATAATTTGTGGACGAATCAATTAGGTATAAGTTAACAGATCTCGGATTTTAACGCGAAAGCCTTTCATCTATTTGGCTAAATAAATTTCTGGCATTATAACTAATGTCAGTTCGTGATGAACACCCCATATATAATTCCTAACTAAGGCGAATTATGACAATTATCGCGAACTGGATAATAAAAGAACCAGTAACACTGGCTGAAGCCAGGTACTACAATATATATGGATGTCTGGAGAGCGTACAGACTCCTACATAAGCTTGTTTATGTGCATCGTGTCGTTATCCACAAGTGGTATTTTGTGTACTTAATAATCAGAGTGCACACAAACAACATTGAAGCTATGTGGTTGAGGCTGAAAGAGTTTTTGAGACTTTATCATAGCTCCAGAGGCCGACTATTCTGTAGCCGTATGGATGATTTCCTCTACTGTATGCATTACGATTTTAGAATCTCTGAACCTCTTTCTAACCTTGACAAGTTTTAGAACCACGTATAAGAAGCGTATCCACTTCATTTCCTTGGTTTTGTACAATATATTTCTACTCTGTATTAGCTGCTTTCTGATTGTCTAATATTTCTTAAGGTCACTTGAGAATCGTCTGAAGGTCGTACATAAATTAGAGTTATACTTAAATACCTGATAACCAATGTAATTATTTGTTGTCTTTACTTACTACGTTTAAGTGGTTTGAATAAATTTTTCTGGTTAGCGTTTTTTCAGCAAGTTAGTTTTCTACGGGATGGGGTTACTAACCGCATGCCCAACCCCCCTCCTTTATCCGGGTTTGGGACCGGCAGTAGTCCCAGAGGGGTTCCAGGCGGATTTATTTGTTCTCTTTAAGAATGAATAAATAAATAAATATACTAAACTAAACAACACAAAATATTTTTTCTCAGCGGTATAATAAAATTTGATTGAAATAAAATTACATTAATATTACAATAAATATATTACTCATCTGAATCCATGTTAACCTTTGTTTTAGTTTTTTGGTTTGTTTATTTTTTTAGAAAGAAAAATATACCCATTGAATCTTCATATAGTATTTCAGATATATATAGATTTATTTTTTATTATTTGATAATTGTCTATGAGTTATGTGTTGTTTCTACCATTGGTGTCGTTGAAAATGACGATAATGATGATGTTTTCTCTGGTATGATAGTAACTAGAGATGTTGTTGGTTTTGTTAATTCTTTTTTTTCTTCTGATATATTCATAATTGATTGTGGTTGTTGTGAATTTTTAATATTTTCTGTTGATTCTAATGTAGTCATTGTTTCTGTCGTCATCGTCATAGGTGATGATGACGATGATGATGATGATGATGATAATAATGACATTGTTGTTGTTAGTTCTTCATCATGTTCCAATGAATCATCTGTAGAATTTAATGCTTCATGAAGAGCTTCATGAGAAATTACTGTCCAATTAGAATCATCATCACTATTCATACCAGATATTCTATGAGCATAACCAATTGTAGTAGTATTTGAATCTTCTATAACATTTTTCAAAGGTAAACTAAATGTTATATTAAAAATTATAATAGAAATATATAAACAACTAAATGTATAATAAAACATATTGAATAGAAAACTATGATAATTTCATAATATTTTACAGTGATCATTGTTGAATTAAATATCTTATATGACTTTACAAGTGATCACGTTTAATGTAAATATGTGTAATATTGAATTGAACTACCAGCATAAATACATACATAGATATAAATTTAGTTTGTACATTTTAAAGAATTAAATAGATAATAATAATAATAATTAAATATAAGTACGGGAATAATGTGGGTACAATAATTTAGTTTACAATGACATTGTATAAACATAAATCTCCATATATGTAGACTTTTATTCCTTTTGATTTATTCATTTATTAATATGGGATAAATATATTACTTAAATATTCTAAAAGTCATTGAAATTAATGTGTTGAAATTTTATTATTTAATTACCTTCTAGTTACATAATAATAAATAGATTAAATATTCAAGGTTTAATAGACCATATTGAATCATTTAACTTGTCATCCAAACAAACAAACAAAAATGTAAATATTGTAATTGAAGGTATCAGTAATATCTATCTATGTATGTATGTATGTATGTATGTATGTAGGTATGTATGTATGTATGTGTATACATGTATGATATTGTTTTTGATACATATATGAACTGAATTGTTGAGAATGTTGGTTTCGTCAGTTTAGTTAATTTGTTTTTATTTTAATTTAAAATTTGCTTATTTTTGTATCAATACTACTCTCACGGAGCTCATTCTTTATTTTTAACGAGAATAAAGAAGTGTTTTCATCACTAATTTATATATCTATTACCTCTAAGATCGCTGTAAATGTATGTGTACATAGTAGGTACTTGATTAATCTATCATCTTTTAATCATTTGACAATAAGATTTTCCTTTTAGATTAACCAGAGTTAAGAAGAAGAAGAAGAGTCCATGTTAAGTATCCAGTGTATCGGGTCAGAGATAAAATGCTACTCAGTGTTATAAACTAGTCGTATTATTTATTTACAAAGTAAGTAATAACTAGACTTTGGTATTCTATGAGTATTATTTGAGTTGTATCATAATTCTGACCAATAATTATAAGTTTTGACAATTCTTAATTTTAATTCTAAGTTAAAGTTGGTTCTTTGAATTTCATCTGATCCTTAATACTCTGTGACTAGTCAATAAATAATACTTATAATTAATACAAGTAAACATAAATAAATTATAGAAATCATGCAATTCCTTTACACAGTGGGATATTGTAAGTTTATTAAAAATTCTATAATGATTTGCATTTTTAACCGATTGGCATACTCATGTTGACAAGATTTAACTATTTCTGCACGGAACGCGAATGTATGATATGCTCGTATGGATATATATATATATATATATATATATATATATATATATATATATATATATATATACTCAAGTATACTAGTTCAACACCACCTAAGTGGTCTTTTATTGTAAGGACCACCTCAGGAGTAGGAAAAGAGGATATTAAACGTAATGGAATGCTGTGCTAAACTAAATTTTCATTAAAAATATGATCATCTGCTTAAATGTAGAAACATTCAGCTGAAGCGTCCTAAACAGGATGAAACGCACCCCCTGGATCCCACTATTTGCTAATATCCGTCTTTACTTAAAACGTTTTGATTTAATGGCAGTATCAAAGTAATTTGCTCATAATATACTATTTCCAATGGAAATTATTCGAAGCTCTCTCTTTAATACCAACGGAACCCTTTAAAAATTTACAAAAGGAATAATAATGAGGATTATACGAAATTTCTCAATAACGAGACATTTAAACACACTTTTATATGTAAAGATCCTTAAGGTAAACTTATAATATATCCCTATGGTAATCTTATCAAATTGCATTACTAGTGTTGTTTATAATGTACCTGTACATTGATATTCCTTCATATATCTGATACTTCATCAATACTATAATATGACTCATTTTATTGACCGAACTTAAACAGCAAATAATATTCCATTATTAAACCGTCTATATTAACTGTTATAAACAAATGCTGATTGATTATAACAATAAAATAATGTAGTTGTGATATCCCAATAAATAAAATTCTTGTTTTCTAACTCTTCGCGTCTTAGTGTACTTCATTTCTTCAGAAAATCAACAAGCAATCAAATTAAATTAACACAAGTTTGAATAATACAAAGGAATAAAGCAAGATATTCCATATGAATCAAACAGATCTGACCTCATTAGTACCATATTATTCCAATCAAGTTGAATACGTACGAGGCATATTCGTGCGTATGGTAGTGGGTAAGAAGTGTTCCACCCATCTGTTCCTCTGTTCTTGAATCTCAGTGATTGGCCTGCCTTCTTTGTCTTTGGCTGGTCTCTCCGGTTTACTATATTTCCCTACTAGTTTCTTCGTTGTGTCATATAGTTGTTCGATATTTCCTTCTCTTGCCGATTTTCTCGCTGTCGTTGATAGCTCTTCCATGTATTTCTGCTTGTCGGCTCTAATGCTCCTCTTCACTTGCTTGTTTGCTTCAGTATATTCAATTTTTACCTTGATATTCTCTGCTCTTGTTCGACTGCAGTTGATTCCCATCATCTCGTTCCTCCTTTCTTGAAACAATTCCGACTTGAAAAACAGGAATTTGATTATGACTAAATACTGGATCTGAGGAGTAGTGTGAATTGGATTCCGATTTACAACTAATACTAGACTGTTAATTGTGTAGAAGTGACTTGTAACACGACTGAGATGTACGCGATATCGAGATTTAAAACAATAATTTATCCAGAGGACGGTTCTATTATAACTTATATATATATGGTAAGCAGACCCAACTGGTGGAGTGTATGTTTGAAGAGAGAGGATAGCTTCCTGCAATAGGAACATAAAGATTATTTACACCATAAGATAATATAAATGACAGCCGGTAGATGTGGCTAAAATTAGTAATGATTAACAACAATAACAGTGGGAACTAAGAGAACACAGAAATGAAAAGTTTTGCACTGAAACTAAAACTCAAGGACAACACAAAAACTGGAAATGGTCATTACAATGGTTGAGAAGATTTAACTGCAATAATAAATACAGCAAAATTTATTGGTTTATGTAATAATACGCGATATTCTAATTTCTGCAATTATTAGAAATGTAACTGTTTACTGAATATTAATAGATAGTATAAAGGAACAAATAAAAATATGACGTAAACGATATGACTGTTGATAAAGTTAAAATTAACTGAAGGCAGACAGTTATTCCTTACACTTATGATGCAGACGGACGTGTTATTGTCTACACTTCCTCATCACTTTCGGAAAGTTTTATGCAAACCAAAACACTGATGAGCTATTAGTGAGTTCACTTGTGAAGAAATTGGAACTCTCTCCCAAGTATGCTGTGTATGCATATATTCAAATGCCCGTATCAGAGGTCCATATATTCCACTGAGCCACATACAGACAGATCGGCGCGGTAGCTAGTATACGTTACATGCAATCATAGAATGAGTAGACAAGTCCACTTATCCCATGAGTGCTCATAGCATGCAAGTTTCCTCTTGTAAGTATACGTTACATGCACATATAGAACTTGTAGGCTGAGACACATGCACTCTATATGATATATATAAATATAGATGCGATCACCCCATTCCATAGTCCAGCGACTTCAGTCACTAAATGAATATCAGGTTTTAAAATCAGTGTGAATTATAAGTCGTCATAGCTGATATGCTCACTTCATGCTTATACCACAAGCATTTTTAGTGTCAACCCCTGTACACTGATTAGGACACAGTTTATGTCCTACTCTCTAGCATACCCCTTCCAGAACTTATGGGCTCTTCCACACCGTTTGTTCAGTTAGCAAAAATAAATTTTTCTCCAGCGTCTTAACCATACTCTCAATCCAAAGTTAACCTCTCTTCTCCTGTCAATCAGGGTTAAGATAGAGTGGATAATTACCCCGACCTACACTGGTTCATGCAGAGTAGATGGTCAGTCCAGTCTCTCCTTTGATCTTTCCCCCCAACTAACTCTGAAAGAACAGTTATAACGATGAATTTCGGGAAATATTAGAAAATATCTATAGTCCCTTATGCACATTTGATTTATCAATCAAGTCGTTTATTCTGATCATCATCATCATCATCAACAACAACAACAACAAAGCAAGGAATTTACCATTATTTTATACTAGAATGGGTTTTGTGGAGAATTGGTAATTTCAATAGTTGAAATCATGAATTAATTGAAGCTAGACCACCATGGAAAACCTGGAAGCACTGGACGGCCGTTTCGTCCTATTGTGAGACTCAGTAGTGCGCATCCACCACGCCCATCCCCGCGAGACTCAAACCCAGGACCTACCAGTCTCGCGCCAGGCGCTTAACCAACTAGACCACTGAGCCGGCATCCAGGCGGTGTTAATGCCTAACTTCAACTAATCCACGAAGTTGCGCCACCGTCACCATTGTCTTCAGTGAGCTGATATCTCACAACAGACCTGGCGCGAGACTGGTAGGTCCTGGGTTCGAATCCCGCGGGGTGCGGGATCGTGGATGCGCACTGCTGAAGAGTCCCATACTAGGACGAAACGGCCGTCCAGTGCTTCCAGGTTTTCCATGGTGGTCTAGCTTCAATTAATTCATTATTTTATAGTTTATTTTTGTTATGTCCCGATAAGCATAATGAATGGTAACTTTGGGATTCATTTATGGATCAATACTATACGTACATTTTTATCGTAGAATTGTTAAATAACTAAACTATGTATATTATCGGTATCATCCTGTACCTGAGTTAGTCTTTAAGGTTCTGTTTATACATAGACTACAAGAGGTTTTCCATGGTGGTCTAGCTTCAATTGATTCATGGTTTCAACCAGTGAAATTTCTAAAATTTCCACACAACCCCTTCTGATAACAATAATCATCTGCTCTCTAGTGACTGACTTCAAGAGGTACTCCTGGAGTTCGAATGAGAAACCGTTGCCAGTGGAGTTCAACCAGGTCTGTTGTGAGATACCAGCTCACTGAAGA